CTTTAAGAGCATAGGGTCCAATGTTTTATCTTGTCATTTTTTTGTTTATTCATCAAAGAAAAACTTAGCATATTAACCAGTTTCATCTGTTTCCTTTATAATTTTGTATTGACTTGGTTTCATAAAGCATGCATTTGTCATTTATTAAATTACTGAAACAAAGATTTATAAAATCTGACAAGGAATTTTTGATATGTGATAAAAAAATAAATGTGTCAGCTTTAAGGAAGATATGCTATTGTTATTATATAAAAATCCACCCATTACTCCAATCTATCATCCCTTTCAGTTAAATTTACCTCATCCAGAGCCAGGTTTTGGTGAGAGCAGACATGCCTCTAAAACAAGAGCCATCTGTTTGGTTTTTATAAACACTTTTCCTTAAACAAAGTTGAGAAGGCAGAGATGTGTTGCATATGTCTGAAAACCAATAGCTACTTCAGCTAGCTCTTTCACATACCCCTTAGAATAAACAAAAGATGTCAGAGGGATTCCTTTACTGGATTACATACAATGTATGTTCTGTACATCTGTAACAATGCCATCACAAATAAATATTGACTGTAAATTAAAATGAGTCTTCCGACAGACTTTCCCATAACAAGTCATTTCTTGTTTGTGTATCTTTAGCAATGTGAATTCTGTCAAATTGGCACAAACTTCGAAACACAAATTACATGTTGTTGACACACTTTCCAAGCCCGTTATATTTCTTCACAACATAATGGACTTGCTTGTAAGCAGCTTAAGTTTAGGGTGAGGAAAAACTGAATTACTCTGACATTGCAAGCTCTGTCAAGGAAACACAAATAACATACTGTATTTTATCAGAAGGAAATATTTTGATATGTTCAACCTTTGTATCAAAATAGTGATAGACACCCATAAGATACATCTGCCATGTTTGCCATTCAATGTAGTTCATGAGAAAAATATTCAAAAGTTACATGTTCCCTGGTCCACAGTCTTACATTCCACCACATTTTTATTGAAATCTGTCGACACGATGTTAATATTTCCTGCTATATCAGACAAATTGGTACTAAAAATATAACCTCCTTTCTGAACAGAAGAAATAGCTCAAATTACATCAGGTTTAGCCATATTCAAACACTTCACCTAAAACAAAAACAACTAAATTGCATGGCTGGAAGTTTGTTGGCATTGGGTGAAAAGGCAAATACATTTTGCAAGTCAGACCCTCGGGTTAGATCCCCTTGACTTCTTCACATTATCTATTTTGGGAAAGCTATATTTCATGCATATTGTACTGATTTTACACACTTTTCCATAGCCCCGGGGACAGTGAACCTCTCATCAGTGCCAGTTTCTTCTTTTTCTCCAACCTATTCAGACCCACTTGATTTTGATTTTATTGCTCGCCTGAGAGCTGAGCCACTCTGAGGTCATCCTGTGGGTGTCTCAAGATCAATGACTGTCTCTTTCTAAATCCCCTTCTAATGAGACTCAAAGCAAAGCTCAATCAAAGCTTCATCCTTTCGCAAGGCCAACCAAAACATTAGGAGGATCAAGGGGCTTCCAGTGAAATACACAAACTGCCATGCAAACAAACCATGCATCTTTTCATCCTTGTGCGTAGATTTTATCCTCATTAAAGAAAAAACAAGGTTACACACATGTGCATCCATAAATAAACACAAAACAAAACAACTCCATTTAGACTTTTGCCAGTTCTTAAGCGAAATAATCTGGAGTTATTTTTAACAGTTTTTACATGGTTCGAGTCAGAGTAAAAGTAGCCAAATTCCATCAAGCTTACAAGGTTGTTACCTGTTACAATTTTGCATAATAGTGTGCGAACCAATCATAAGAAACAAGGAAAGTGTGTTTTAAAGGCTGTTTTTTCATCACAAAACTAATTTGAAGCAGCAGATTTTACTTCTGTCGGTTACACAAACATTTGCAAAAATGACCAGAAATTGGTTGGCCATCAAAATAAGATTTTCTATTCTGTCACATTTGAAGGGAGTCAACATTAAACCTTTCCATAAGAGTTTGGAAACTGACACGTCTTTAATAGCACTCTCCATATCTGAGACATGCTACACTCACAAACTCTAAATGGTTCATAGCACACAGCAAGGTCCTAATTTCCCCCCTCCTGCTGTGCAATACATGCACAGTAACTTGTGAGGTCATAAAAACACAATTGTTTGCATTACTGCCTCAGTTCTACCACAGCCATTAGAACAGAACTTGATTACAAAGCTGACAGCCCTTTAATATACACTAAACTGCCAGTGTTATCATGAAGCAAAACAGAAGATCTCCAGACTCTTTCATCGTCCACCCAACTCTCCTCTAGCCGAACTCCATATTATACCCTCTAAGAACCTTTGCTGTTATAAATTTAAAGTTTTGTGTGTTCCTTATGGGTCTTTTTGAGTTATAGTACAAGTCTTCGATTTATATCTGAGGAGGAATGGCTAGAATGCTGCTCTTTATACAAAGGAATAGCCAGCCCTCATCCAGTAAGACTCTATATATCATGGCTGTCACAGACAACAGGTCGGTACTGTACGGCCAACAGATCAGGAATGAACAGTATGATCCATAAAGATAGTAGGTGTATAAGAAAGAAAATACAGAGATCAGGTATTGCTGTTATTAAACTGAAGGAGGTAGGGCATTATTGTGGGTCAGCAAGCCTCACTGTGATAATAAATTCACTGTTAACTACAAGAAAGATGTACAGAAAGTAAGTGGGGGAGAAGACAGGTGTTGGATGAATGGCAGATAAGTAAAGTGAGCAGATGACATGCAGCAAAGGGCCATAGGTTGAGATTTGAACCTACGGCTGCTGCATCAAAGGCTAAGCCTTTACATGGCAATTTAAGTGGGGATAAATCTTTTATTTATTGGGATTCCTTATCTAATTATTTATACAGTATTTTTCCAATTTAAAGACACTATGTCTAGAAAAGTATTGTATTCTTTAGTTGCCAAGTGACATGTATGCACCCTAGTCAAATTAGAATACCTTGTTGTTATTGTCAACCTCAGATACAGTTAACCAATTCATTTCTTGGTACATGCCAATGTGAAGAATTTGACCCCGTTTAGCTTGTGGATTTGGAAGGAAGTTGAGCAAAACTACAGAGATGTGATGGACAAGAAAACTTGAGCAACTTGAAGTGTTGGTCTGTAAAGCTGACTAAAATGTTTATGGATGTGAGAGAAGCAGAACTCTGTATCTCTTATTGCCTCTGTTTTGCTTACACTTCACTGTGTAGATCTGTCAAATGAAATGTATTCACAACAAATTAGAGAGAATTTAATACATTTCACAACCTGTAAACTAAATCACAATGCGCCTCTGGGGTGGGTATACTGTAAGGGATGCAGACAGTTCTTCTTTTTATCTTGATTAAATTGAATACTATCCTTTAAGCACAATAACAAGAATGACAATTACTGTACATGATGTTTAGTTTAAGGCTGAGCACAATACCAGTGTCATGCATATGGGATGCATTATCAAGTGTGAGTAAAGCTTATTACACAAAGGAGGAGTAACTAACTCTCAGTCCAGACAGCAGCACTTTGTTTACTTCTCCCTCTCCCTTGGCTTATTTTCTTAAAGACCTGTCTATTTCTCCATGCCCTGATTCTCTCACAGCTCACTTAAAATCTGCACGCATTCACTACGGTTGTTGAAAACTGAAGGTGCCAAGTCATTTAATGGGGTATGAGGTGGCCTTTCGCCTGTTACAAGAAATCCCTTGAATCTGTGCCACCTACAGCAACTGTGTGTATTATATTATTTGACTTTCTGCTCGGGTGTTGATGCACATACAGCAACACGAGAAGCCACAAACGTGAGGAAAATCAACACATTTACAGTGCCATAAATCATCACTACAAAGAAGGAAAATACTTAAGCACCATTGGCTCATTTCCCAGACAGGCATTAAGCCTACTTCTAGGCTAAAGTGCCCGTTTAAACCATAAATGCTCAAATTGGCTTTTTCTGATATGGTTTTTAATAGTATCATCTCAAATTGAACCTTATATATAAATGAATGAACTAACCCATTTCCTGACGAGAGATGCAAGACTAATTAAGGGCTTAATTAAACCTCCAACGATGCAGGTTTAGCTTCAGATTAATGTTGTCTGTCAGTGGAGATGTGTGGCTTATGTGGACTGCAGCATTTTGTAGAAGACCTACAAGAACCATTAACTTAATCTATGTAATAATTCAGATTAAAATTTGTTTGAGATGCACTGTTATCATAATAGAATAAAAAACCTATAGATACTCTTATCTCTGATCTCTACAAGGATTTTGGTATTCTGTTCAAAAACATTCTTTTAATTCCACTTTCAGTGTTTTGTCAGTTTTTACTCATCTGATTCAACCATATCTTGGGTTTTTTTATGATGCCATCCAGGTTTTCTGTGCTGACGGCAAAGACTCTCACAAATAAAGACTAAAACATATGATTGAAATCAGTCTAATTTATCTGAGTCAAGATGTAGCTCTTAAAAAAAATGCAAGATGTGTTTCAGAAAGCCACTTTTAAAATGAGGATTAACTAAATTACGGTTTACTACTGGTTTAATTTATACTCAGTCCAGAAACAGGCCCCATTAGTTATAGTGTAATAAAAAGACACAGACTTTGTGTGTATTACCTCACACCCTCAACTCTTTTAGCAGGGTGGCTGCTGATATAAAGCTAAAAAATGCACTTCTCATGGGCAATAAAGTCGTATGAGATGCAGCACTATGAAAACAAGACCTGGTTTCATGTTCCAACAATTATATGCTCAGATTTAAGGCCTCTGTAGATGTCAGAGGATTTGGGTCGCAAGACACATTTTGTAGCCTTGTGGTCATGGTAAAAAAATACCATGTCAGAGCTGAAGTGTAAAACGAAGACAAATTGAATCCCTTGTGTGTTTCACAGCGTCGCTCGTGAATTTTTTGTGGGAAATCCTGCAGCCCAAGACCAGTGAAGAATGTGAACAATCATGTCATGGTAATGCACTTCTCAATTTATTTAGATTCTAGAAAAAAAAGGCAAATAAGAAGCTCCAGAACAAAAACATGTGTTGGTAGAACAATAAGTTAAACACAAGAAGAGGATTTGTGTCAAAGAAATAAGACACTGCGTATGCAAAGGCACGTGAGTGACATGTTACACTGTATGTTGAATCCCGATAAAACAAATATGTACAATACCAAAGAAACAATGTGGTAGCAATATAATTTTCACATAATTTACAAGATAACTAGTATAGATGGCATACCAGCAGCTACACATCACTGTTGACATCTAGAAAAATGACGGATATCGGCACGGCAAAATTCATTTTCTCATTTAAAATTGAAAAGTAGTTTTATTAGAAACATTTCTAAAATTAAGAATAAGAACACTCCTCTCCACCCCATTTACTTCACTATACACAATAAGCCAACACTGATGGCCACATATTGCAGTCGTAATGACACGTTTTTTTCTTCTTGCAGAAATAATTTCTGTCAAGAAAAGAAAATACATGCCGTCCTCTCATTTCTCATCTCTTCACTCCCTCCCTTTCTGTTCCCCCTCTCTCAGAGGAAATGTAGAAGTATATTTCATTTGCTTCATGGACTTGGCTGTGACCAGACATTTGAGTTCATAGTAGAAAGGGAATACAACTATGCACACTTACAACTTCTGTCTTCTTCTCCCTTCCAAAGAGGAACTGTAATGTATCTATGGTGTGGGTCCAAAAAACTAAAAAAAGTGAATATCACTCCCACATGTTGTAGGCTGTGGAGTCCTAGTTTACGAGTTTTAAACATTTTTCTGTGGTCCGTGTCTCCTGTCTCAAACGCACAAGATCATTTTTAAAAGTTGTCATGAGAGGTGGAGAGCATATTGATGTTTTTAATAAACAGACCCAGTGAACTCTGTGCTCTTGTTTTTATGAACTTGAATTCTTTGCTGTGAACATGAGTGGGAGCCAAAATTCCTCTCTCAGTCAGGTGCTTGAGAGCACTTTTCTGGTAATGTGCATCACGCCTGTTCAAAATGTCATCCTTGCATGCATGCACTGGATTAGGCTAAATTACTTCACCATTAAAGTCTCATTTCTTGCAATTTGTTGTTTATAAATTGAGGTGGTTGTGATCACATCTGGGAGAAATTCTTTAAAGTTCCATAGTTCCTCACAACTTTGAGGATGTCTCCTCCAGCGTTTCGTTTACATTTCAGAAGGTGGTGCTTGACTTAGCTGCATACGGAGGCATTTACTACAGGTTATAGTTCAGTAAAACCCATTCACCAAAGCATACTGACGCACATTCCAGACACTACACAATTATATTTACAAATCTACTTATCATGAATGGTTGCTTATTGTTTCACATAACTGAGAAGTGAGTAGAAAAAGTGACCATCAAACAGAGATGTTCCCCAGTTTTGTAAAATAGAAAGTCTAAAAATGAAAATGCGTAGATGTAAATTATAAAATGCAAAAGTCCATCTGCAACAGGAGTACAATGTGTAACTGTAACATAGTTAAAAAGACAATGAAACCTTTAAACCCCTTAACCAAAGCTTAAACAAAATATCATTATACCTTAAATGACTGTTTGTAGTGTGCTGTGCTGCATGGGAAATTGTTATAATAGCTAAATGCAAAATTAGTCTTAAGGCAGAAAAAACACCAACTCCTCTAAACACTTCATCACAGCAAATGCACCAGTCAACTACAATTCTCTTGTGATAATCTATATCACAAACTAATGTTTTAATGTTATTTTAAGGCTTGAGTGCAGGTTGCCACTGGACACATTGAATATTATGCTGGTGATAAAAGCAGATAGCTGGTGTAGTATTCTGATGTAGTAATGTCAAACTGCATTAACGTCTCATTCTATTTTCCGCCAACTTTTTGCTATCTGTGCATGTCTTCTTTCTTTGTTATTACATGGAATATTCTAGTAATATGCTGTGCTGGTGATGTGGATACAAACGTGCGTATGAACACCTTTTCAAGACCTGAAATCGTTCGATACTTTTCTTGGATTTAGAATTTAATGTAAACACACTGATTGAGAGATGAGAGCTGTCAGGCTGGGAGATAGCATACGATGTCAGCTTTTTAATGGGCCTGAGTTTTTGGGATATTCATCAGATTTAAGCCACGTTCTGGCAATATGCTCAATATACATAGCATTTATCAAGTCTGTCAGTGTAGAAATACTAATCTTGGATCACTGAAAAACACATTTCATAGCACTCTCCCAAAGGCAAAACTGATCCAAGATAGGTATTCCTGTTTGACGTAGCTTGATAAATTGTAGGCTAGGATACTCAGTAGCCCCATTCTCCCAGATTTTATTTTCCCAGTTATTTAACAGTAAAGCCAGCTCCATCTCCGTCTCAGACTAGCTCCACCTTGGAGTTGGGGTAAACGGCAACAACGTCATAGCCCTCAGGGGGCTGGACGCGAGCCTTGGCGTGGGTCTCACAGTACAGATTGTCCTCGATGAAGAAGTACCCTTTCTGCTTGAGGTTGACGCCGCAGTCATCGCACATAAAGCACTCAGGGTGATAGAGCTTGTCCCTGGCCTTCACGATGGTGCCACTGGATGGAGAGATGAAAAAAGACAGAAAGTGTTAGACTTATGAAGGCTTTAATTAATTTAAAAATCATGAAGTTGCAGCAGAGGATGCAGACACTGCCTACATAGCCTAAAGAGTTTTACTTGGCTCTGTTCAAGCCCAATTATCAGCATTTAACTTTATATTAACACAGCCAAATGTTCCTTGTTCCTCAAAATTTTGCTTCATGTGCTGTATGACTTTTTTGATCATATATCATATTTCCCATAGATTTGTCAAGTCCGATTCTTTTGACAAAACAGATATTACTGAATTTCTTTATGTTACAGGAGAGATCTATTATATGGTGTAGTCATGAATGATAATTCATAAATTAATTCTAAATTAACTTGAACATTTAACTGATGCTAAGCACTCTTTTAAACAATTGTGTGATAGTTTAGCTTGAAATTGGTTGTTTGAAATTGGTTTCTGTTTTGGTATGTTTTCTGCTGCAACTCAAGTCTGAATCTGAATTCTATTTTTATTGACAGTGGACAGAAAGAAGCCAACCTTATATGTAGTGTAAGGGAAAGGTGGAATAAACATAGTGGAGATTAGACTGATACATGAATGCAAGATAGGAAAATCATGCTATTGCAAGCAAACTGCAATATGCTGAGTGCCTTAAAAGGCACTGCAGTCAGTTTTTAGGGAGATGTCATCACAGAGGACAAAACATTAAGTGGTGACTCAGTTGTTTATTGAACTTTCAATATTCTATGCAAATCAGCATTTATCATACTTGATAGAGACTTTAACCATGCAAGCATTTGAATATATTTTATGATAGTTCTGCAAAGTTTTCAAAGAACATATCCTGAGAGGAGTTTCAGGTGAAGGAAAGGTTACACACATTCATACTATCACACCTGGGAGCTCAATAGTACATGTTTATTCTGCTGGCTGGGTAATGATCAACACTGGTGCATTCGGAGGTTCACTGCTTCACTCGGTCACACAGTGATGGCAGTTGTAAAGGGCGTTGTTCATTCACTGCTCCCAATAAGATTTTCCTTTCTGGACTGGGGTTTCGGGCCAGCGACCATTCAGTCATAAGCCTGCTTCTTTTTTTAACCACTTTCCCCATCTAACCACATGACTTGGAGGATAAACTCTTGACACAGTGCTCTATATTTGTTTAAAAAGCTGTAAAATTCTCCTAGGTCATAACAGCCTTATTGTGTCCTGCGAGCTCCTACAATGCACTCTTGTTAACAAGTAAGCCGATGACATCACTGCTTACCTGCAGCTGCTTTTATAGAGGGGGGATTACCGGTGCATGTGGTTACTTTGGCTGAAAAGTGTGTGCGGGTATGCTTCTGCTTAATGTTTAGTGTCAGTTTTTGTACGCAGCTTTGTATATGTGTGCAGGTGAGTGTGTGTATACAGCATGTGTGCATGGGAAAGGGTGTGTAGAGGATGGCTCGGTTTAATCATTAAAATGATAAATGGAAATAGATTTTTCTTGAGTACTTGTGAAAAGGCCTGTTAGTGCAGGTCGACCTACACGAGTTAACCTCTTTGTTTCAGAGTCAGGGAAGAACCTTGTCTCACCTCACATAGTTCAACGTTTAAACTTTATGACCACAGGAGGAGTGATAAAACCAGACAGAAATATATAATTTCCAGATGGCGATTAAAATAGTTTTAACAGCCAATATGAGAATAAATCATTCATATTTTCAGTATCACATTTACTGTATCTTCAGTAGTCTGTAATTGTAGACCACAGTAGCCATTACTTTTATGTTTCATGGTGTGGCATTTAAATGTAAAAAATAACATTACCTCTTAGTGTTGAAATTAAAAGCTAATTAAATTGATAAAGTATTTTATGTACCAAATAAATATTTTGGCTATATTGAGTGGTCTTTACATTTCAAGACCAAAAAAATATATATCAATGCCTTCTCAAAAGGGGTCTCTGACCAGTAAGACATAATTACACACTTATTGTATGAGGTATTCTATGATGTTATGCAGTCCTCTTTTTAGTATTTACATTAAAATGAAACCAGGATTTGTGCAATACTTACACAATGCCATTACAGCAGCGTGTGCACTGGGGAAGCTTCTGAAGACCAGGCATGGGGCTGGGGATGGGGCTTCCCAGTTTGGGGATTGGAGACCTGACTGGAGACTTTAAGTTTCTCATTCTCTCTGTTGGAGACACACCTAGAAATAACAAAATAACCACAGATTAAATATAGGAACACTGAAAATTACACTGTAAATCATCCAGAGGCCAGACCTTACATAAGCATGCATGCCATATATGTAAAACATGCTCCCAGAATCCCAGGGGAGCATCCCAAACATATGTGTGTTTGTGTATGTGTTCAAGCACCGCTAGATTCCAGGTAGTGCTTATCTGGTAATTCAAGGAAAAAGACATACAGGTTTCTTGTGTATTCATGTGTGTTTATGCTCTGAAGCAAATTCCCTTTGAGCTCCAGGTAGTAAGACTAGAGCGTGGTGGTTGTCAGGTCTATGTAGGATGCTAAGTGATACAAAGATGAATTAATACTTCACACGCTACCCTCAAAAGAGGCACCAGGGGTCATTTTCTGTTCTCCACTGAGCTATTTCTCACCATTTCTGGCCATCCTCGCAGATGTGTGCTACAGTGCTGGAATACAAATATGGCATAGGTATTCATGGGAGGTTTAGTTTCAAAGACATTAGTGTGCATACTGGGCAACCTACCAGAACACAAGGAGAGTATCCAGAAACAGCCTAACAGCCACACATATTTCTTTAACAATGTCCTACTGAACCAACCACTTGGGGAAATACAATGAGCTGGTTCAAGAAAGTTTCCCTCATGCAGTAAACACAACACTAATAGTAGAATCCTTGTTTGTTTTTTCATTTTCACTTTCAATTCTGTATCATGCTCAAATGGTAGCCCAAGACAATGCGCTAGTGTTTCTGTAAGTTGAGATCACATTTCTCATTAACCTTGTTGATGCTTTCACAAACAGGATGTTGCCACTTGACCTCTTCCTCAGCCACTGCATAGCGTTTGTCTTTATGTAATTATTTTGAGAGAGAGATTTATGCTTTTGCTTTCAGATTTCACAATATGCAGCCCGGTTGCATGCAATCTAAAATCCACTGAGGACCAATTACTGTAAGATATCAATCTTCATCGTGGAAACATAAAAATGAATGTGGTAATGATTCATTGATGTGGAAATGCTACATATAGCATAATGAAGTGCTGTTACAGCCACTGAATAAAATGTTCAACATTATAATATAAGAAGGTATTCACTGTCCTCAACCTTTTCCGTTTGCTTTCACTTCCCTTCAGATCAGTTACTGAATCTCTTTGTTTGTCTCTCTTTTACGTTTCTCTTGTCCCCTCTCTTTGACCTCTCTGTGTCTCTTGCTCCTTCCCCTGTGCTCCATTCAAGAGTCTCTATTGACACTTACAAGGAATTCATCAGTCATGATGGCTAGACACCCAGCAGGAAAAACACCCCATGTTATAGAGTCTTTTTAAAAAGTTTTAACTGTCACACCAATATGCTACAATCACACGTCTGTGAAGGACACAAAATGAGTTGACATTCATCTTAATGGTAAAAACAGTTAGATGCATTTTTTTCTTAAATATAAATATAAAATAAAAATGACATCAAGGAGATTTTCTTTTAAATTTAACACAAAGTATCTATTAGCCAAAATAAAATGGTTGTAAAATAAAGCTTAATGTACACACAAAAAAGAAGACCAAGAAGATCAGCTACAACAATTGTTTTAGTATAAAATGTTGATTTATTTTGTTACAATTCCTCGAACAAAGGCTGTTTATAAAAACAACTAACAGATAAGAGACTGGTATTTCTGGTGGTAGACAAGGGTTGCTGCCTTCCCACGGATACCATTTTCTATTAAGAACGATCAACTCCTACCATCAAGCGTTCCGTTATGCCTGACTGGAACGCATGAAAGGGGCATATTTAATACTGGATATCTGGAGCCACTCCAGTGGTTCCAAGTGCACCAGGGTAAATCAATGGGGCAAAGCCGTGAGCTGCAGTATATGACTTCCCCTTACTGATGATGTGCCAGCACAGGCTAACAGGCTAACACGCCAAACAGACCACCTATCACCGTCACTAACCACAGCCTAATTACCTCGCATCTGGCACCTGACTCAAAGCAGTTTCCATCCCTCAGTAACAGTTTGTCTCTGACTGCTCCATGGTGTGTTTAAGAGCTGACATTAGCTCGGTATGTTATTTCTGGGATTAATATCTCTATTACCTAATGATGCACTCCAATGGAAAACCAGTCATGTGCAGCACTCTTGTGACTTTCTCACAGAGGGGAATGGTGACTAATAAGTCTTTTTCAGCCACAGTCAGGAATAGATACAAAAAGCAAAATGAAGGAGTACTTGTTTAGTCTTGCTCCTACATTTTTAAATAGTCTGACTTCTCAGGGCCCGTGTAAGCTGTTTGCCAAGTGCAGATACACACCATATTTTATTTGAAAGACAGTGACAAGTTGGCCGATTACAACACACATCTCGCCGCACGCAGGATTTGCGGCACAATGTGTGTCCTATAATGTGACTAATATCAACAAGACTGTCAAACAGTCACACACACGTCTCCTAACTCAATCTTGTCAAGAGCAGAGTGTGAAGCCTCAGGAAATGTGAGGAAAATGTAATCACATAGTCAAAAGATAAACAGCTGTAATAATCTAATTGTAGACAAATATGTTTGTAATGTTTGTTCCTGAGCATGCTGCAAGAAGGGTTGTAATTCTCCGAGAGGTTTAAACAGGGTTATATCAAGTCTATGTGACAAGAAAGATAATTTAAAAATGGGCACAATAATCAGATTAAATGTATCAGAAAGACACATTTTTAATCTTTTATGCAGTCAGAGAAGAAAAAAACATCACGAGAGAAAGAAACAAAATTGGAATCGTGCTGACAATCACATGTTTACCCCCACTGGACCAGAAATCTTACTAGGGCTTTAAATCTTGTATCTTTTCATCTCTGTCTTGATCCCTGTGGAATAACAATCCGAATGGAATGCACCCTCTATTTTTCCTTGAAACAGAATTGAATTACTCTGCAGTGCGTTTGAAGGGGGGCCTGACTGATGTGATGTTTATCTACACCCTGTTACTGATCTGAATTGTGGTCATGACAACAGGTAATTCAAATAACATTGTTAAAACTCAAATCCAACTTGGTCCACTGGGATAGATTAATGCAACTTCCCATATAATTTAAGCTAAAAGTAACAAATATGACTATATGTGAGCATTCCAAGTTTACATGTTATAATCCAGAAGGCAATCAATTGGAGAGTTATAATTTAAAGTATAATATTTCCTGCAAAGCAGTGATACTGACGGATGTCTTAGTACACTGACGTCTTATTCTGGAGAGAGGACACAGTCTGTAGTTACCTTCGTAAGCACTTTCCATGCACTGACTGAACTGGGTTTTGTGGCCACTATTCATCACTTTTGTGACGAGCTGAAAAAATACCCCCAGCAAGCTGATGGAAAGTCACTTCTATGGGAAAAAAAATAATCAAAGGCACAGAACGAAAATATTTTTCAGAATTTTCTTCTTAAGATAAACTTCTGGGGGAGTTCTAGGGATGGATGAGGTTTCATAGAAGTCACTGGAATTTTGTTTATTTCTTTTTCCAACTGTTGAAGAAACACTCCCCCATCACAGTGTCTCCCGTCTGTGTTCCTCTTGAATTTACCTCAAACTTTCATTGATGAAGGTGGAAATTATAGAATCTCATTGCCAACATTGCACTCTCATGTCTTCACACTCAACAGTTAACAATTTTAATTTGTGCATTTCTTTAAAATATACAGAAGCAATTCCATTCATGTGTAAAGGCTTTGATTGAATTGGTGAGGCTATTACTACATGATATCTTAACATGTTATGGAATAACAGACTGTGTTGTATTGGTACAATAGGTAAAATTTTCTCCTATCTATCAACCATAAGTAATATTGTTTCAAACACCATAACTTAACACTAACTCTTCCATCCACACTGCTATCCAATCACGGCAGAGTCTGTGGAATTTTGGGTAAACTGACACTCTTGTTTACTTTAACTTTAAAAGCCCCTGAAAGTCAACATGGCCTCTACAGGGGCTTTCGCCTTCAAAAGGAGACCAACTACAGTGATTTAAAAACCTGACAGCAAGGTATGCATTCAAAAACAGGATTATTTGATTTTAAGAGTCGAATGTGTTAAATTTGTTAATTTGACTTGTTTCTGCTTTCTTGAACTAATAAAAAAAAAACAAGAAACAAGGGACAGACCTTTGCAACATTTCTGGCAGGATTGCACTCTCTCACACAGATTAAATGACACCAAACAAGACAGGTAGCTTTTAAAACGATCCCAATATAAACCCGAGGTCTCTCCCTGTTTCATCAAGGGCTTAGCCTGTCAATCAACCTGCCAGTCTCCCAAGGTGAAAGACAACTGACAGCAGAAAAAAAGAGTTCCTTTTAAACCTCTTTAATCAATCAGCAGTGTCTCTCTCCCCCAAGCCCTCTTCGTCTGTCATAAACATCTGTCTTTTTCTGTAGCTCTCCCTCTCTCTCATTGCTTTGAGTGGTTGAGTGTAATGGCAAGTGCTAAATTAAGGAAACAGTATGGTCTGGCTCGGCTCCAGGCCTCACTGCAGGAGCAGCCAGCGTTGATCCTTGTGCTGTGGATTATCCTGTCGCCTTTCACATCAAAGGTAGATCCAGAGATGTGATAATCATGAGGGAAGTTTTTACTCTTTTCCTGGGATAACAATATTCTTCAGAGAATAGAAAATCAGTGATGGATTTATTCTAAAACCTGAAAATTTTTTTTATTTATGTTCTGCTTAAGTATTTTATGTTTCACTTTTATAAGAGAAAGTCTGGGTAAATTTAGGTATTTTCTGTATTTTCTCTATTGTTAAAAGTAAATATCAGAGGGACACATTAACTGCAAGTTGTTGTTTTGTTGCATGGAAATATTCAAATTAGCACCAAGAAGTAGTAATCATTAGGTTTTCTTACAAAAATATCTGTACCAGTTTTGGCATCCACAACCCACATAAGTCAAACCAGTGTAGAGCCCGACCAATTTTGGATATTTGAGACCGATTCACATATTACCGATGTGGTGGCAGATATATTGAATTTTGGATGGAAATAGACCTTTTCTGTGTGGATTGTGCACTGATTTTGCACCGATTCAACTAAAGAAAGGTAATCTCAGAAGTCATTTCATTTAAATATTCTTTAACATGTTAAATAATTAAACATATACATTGTCAACCAATTCTAGAGAGCTCTCTCTCTCTTCAGAGGGGAGGTAATTAAAGCGACAAAGAAGAATTCAAACAGATGACTGAATGACAGAATACATATATTAAAACCCTTATTTACCTATGCAAATATTACTGAGCCCTGACACTGCAGATTCATACATTCACAGCCAGTAGGACTCCACTAATAGCAATGCGGGTTAAAGGACACCACTGTTATTCACTGAGCTTGACAAAAACATTAAACATAGTCAATCCGTGCTAACAGGTCATAAGCCCACTTCTGTGAGGTCCAGGCTATTTCCGCTTTAACATACCAACACTTGGCTTAGGATGCCCACTTTTGCACCTTTTGCCCCGCTTTAGTGGTAAACATGGAACCTGAAAAGAATGTTTTAGTTCAGAGAATAAGCCTCCTCTGCTGCTGTCAGCATCACATGACTCCTCCCCAAGAGCTGGAATGCTGAGCGGTCAAAAGGCAGACAGGAAAACCATATTTCTCACTTTATTGTCCTATGTGAAGTTGTTTTGGCAGTAAATTGCCTAACCAAAACTTTCCTCCCCTGTTCATCTGTGCGTGAGCTATTTAAAGCACTTCATCTTTCTCCTTCTCCCTGTGTCTCTTGTTTTCTCTCGGATCTCTCTCTCTCTCTCTTGCTCTTCCTCTCTATCCCCTAACCTCCCTGTCTGTATCTTTCTATAAAAGGAAAACTATGCCAGTTGGACAGGGAAGCTCAAAACAGTCAGAAGCTGACTGAGCGAGGCAAGAGATGTTCCTTTGGCTGGATTCATAAGTCTCATTTTCACAGGAGGGAATATTTACTTTCCACCTTATTTATATACAAAAACAGTTTGTGAGAGTTACAGGGATACCCAGTGGCTTCCCAAGTTATAACTATTTAATTTTATATCCGCTCAACAGTGCTATCCATTTAGGTGGCATTATATCATTGCAGAATAACAGAAATACAGCGCTTGAGGATGTGACTAGGTTGGTGATGTGCCTGTGCAATACATGAGAATTGCTGCTGGTAAGGTTACAATATTGAAAATGATACAGACACTGTGGCCATTATTTAAATTCTAGCCTTTCCCACTAGATACCAGTTACAGTAATTTACGTCTTCCTGGGTAAAGTAGCATGACACTAAAGATGTAGGCTACAGTGGACACACATGCTTTTTTTCGCCACCATCACACACATGTAAGCAGTAACACACCCACAAAAACAGCCCTACCTCCATCCTCAGCCTCAAGGATTCCCTGGAGGTATTTGAAGGAGCCAGACTGTTTGGGTTCAGAGACGGGCTCCACGTAGTCCTGCAGCATCTTGTAGACGTCTGACTGCGTGTCGATACCATTACGGCCCCCAGGGGAATGTATGGGAGGCTCTGGGCTAAAGGAGAACAAGGAGGGCAGGGTACAGTGTTACAATGTAATCTGTATAATGATGTCTATATGTCAAAAAACATAACTTTGCATTGGTTATCAGTCAAGACAACAAAGAAGTAACACATAAATTTGGTCATTTGGTTTGTCTTATTTCTGACATGACATATGGCCACTGTATTTTTTTATTTTATCAGCCTATACAAAAAGATAAAAGAACAGAAGTTGCCAGACCACCGAAGGAAGAAAAGAAAACTTGACAGAAAAACACCTGAAGAAAGTTAGGCAGGACTACAACATATTTCTTTTGTTTAAACAGACGTCACATAGAGTTTTCTTTTACCAAGACAGCACAGATGAAAACAGGGGAAAATAGAAGTATACACTTTACACTCAACATGTGATTCCACAGGCATAAAGTCTTAATCACAATAACTCTGCGCCATGTTCATCCATCCATCAAGTTATTCCCAAACCAAACAGGACGGATCTTTCATTTGATACAGTCAAACCTCTGGGAGATGAGCAGGGCTGCTGACAGATGTGTTTAAATCCTGACACACTTAACTGCATGTTTGTCTCTAGACTCCCCTCCAGGAGTCTGAAAGAAGCGCTTCACTACAGCCTGAGTGTATGTATGTTTGTGTGTGTGTGAATAAGTGAGACTGGGTGAGAGACAGAAAGAAAGACAGAAGAACAAGTGAAATTGTGTAATGAATGAGTTACAAAAAGTGATGACAGTGGGCATTGAGCAGTTTAAGATGGTGTTTAACTGTGTTGTCTGTGTGTATGCGTGTTTGTGTGTGGGCCTAGTCAGGATTAACAGTCCCGTCCTGGGGAACCCTGGGAGTGCTGGAGAGGATGTTCGCTGGGAGACTAAAAACACATTTATTGCCCGCTTGAGGGGATGCACAACAGCAAATGGCTTTTCCAGTCCACTGGGCCATCTGTGCAGGTGTGTCAAGAGATCTCCGAAGTGAGTCTATGTGGTTCTGTGTTTGCATCTGTTAGAATGTCTACATGGGAGTCAGCACATGAACAAATAAACTTATGGTATCAAAATATACTGTAAATGTATATTAACATACAAATTCACCTAGTGGTGCTCTCATAATGAAAAGAATAAAGGATTTTAGAAGCGGTAACTCGAGCCTCACTACTATCATACTTGTGGAATTTTCTCATAGTGTGCAATTACACTAACTCTACCAACAGTCATGGAGAGATAAGCCTTAACACTTTCTACTGTTTCTACCGTTCTACTGAAGTTTGTAATGATTAGTATAAACCCAGATGCCTCGTGTCAAAACTGTAAGTTGCGGTGGGATTTAGGACCCATTTGTTTTCTCTCTGCACTCTTTGCAGCACACTCTTTAATCATCTCACCTATGTGTGGCGCTGAGGCTGAGGCCTCCCATCTTGCTTGGAAGAGATCTGTCGCCATTGCTGCCATTATGAGCATAAAGTCCTGCTGGGTTGTTGTACTGAGCGGGCCCAGTTCCATTCCCGTATCCATAGCTGTGGCCGTTGTTGGGTCTGGAGTGTCCGTTATTCAGGTGAGTGGGCTGGGGTGCCTGAGGGGACTGGGGTGCCGGTGGGGACTGGGGTTCAGGGGTATATGAAGGTTTACGGCTGTAACCGCCATATCCGCTGGTGATGGGACGGAAATTCTAAAGAAAAAAAAAAGAAGCAAAACAGGGACACATTTAACTGGAAGAAGCAGAAGAAAAGATCACAAGATATACACTGTTTATAGTATGAAGCTTCTGCAAATACAGACAAACAAGGGTGCAATGGTAAAAGAGAAAAGAGCATGCTACATCAAAGAAAGAATTACTAATGTTAGGAGGAAGAAAGAAAAGGGGCAATGGACCCATTACAGAACACTCTATTATGTCTTGGTTCAGGAAATGAGAGTAAAAAGAGGAGAGGAAAGAGAAAACAATCCCACTGGTGCCCTGAGTAGAAAACCACAATTCTTCAGAGGCGAAAATGTGGTTGTTCCCAAATGAGGCTTTGCAGCGGCGAGGATTGAGAGAAAAGCTTTTTCCACTTCATTTCTGCTTTCCCCTCTTTAATAGTAAGGCTTATTAAGAAGGAGCTTGCAATAGATTTCCTGCAGATGTTTCTGTCAAAACAAATTAACTTGTGTGGTGTAAATATTCAAAAATGTTGCTTTTTTTCCCCCTGGCTCTTCTATGGATTGACGAGTTTATAGAAGGTGACAGAGCTGAGATACTGTAAAAGATTAAATTATTATCTTTTTGACGTGCTGTAGCAGGCTTTCTGCATCCTTGCCACAGAGTCGCTCTGCTGGAGCTGTTGGTAAGAATCTGCTAGGCTAATGTGGGACAGATGCACAGACACCTACACTTACACCACTGTATACTCAGCGAGTGTGTTTATGCTGAGGTCAACGCCCTTCTCCTGCATTTGCACAAACTCCACAGTGACATCACCAAGCCTCTCAGTGTTTACCACAGCTATCAGTACACTTCAGTGATAACGCTCTCTGCCAGCCTGGCTTGTCCGTCTCAGAGACTGAACTTTATAGATAAAGTTTTATTGCATGGCTTGCAATGATGTCACCACCTCTGATAGTGTTTCAGTACTTTGAATTTCAGAGATAGGACAGCACTTTTAAATGACTAAACAGGGCTGCACATTATCATAACTTTAGACTATAAACATTTCATCTGAAACGAAGTGACTTGTTTACAAGTTAAGCAATGGAGTAGGATGGGAGACAGTCAGACTGTTGTAACTATGAGCCACTGGAATGAGTGTGCGTGCATGTGGTGAGATTGTGTGTTGCTGTGTGTGTATCGGGCTAGTTTAAAGTGCCTCAGCCACAGGAGGTGGAGGTTCACAGCTGCTCCAGACAGGACCCCTGTCATTTCAACAGATGGGTCTGCTGGATGTCATCCTGTCCTCGGCCCTCGCATGGACCACACATGAACTGACACGCAGACACACACACACAGGTTTTCTTTAATCAGCACTTCTGAGAAACCTCCTTTCCTCTACACCAACAAGCCCACATCTTGAACTTGGAAAGACGCTCTGTCATTGCCCTGCCTCCTGCAGTTAAGACAGATGACTTTCAAGAAATTTAAAACCACCTCTTCCTACTCTTCCCCAAAACCTCGGACAGTAAAGATGGATGAATCCAGGAACCCTCTCAACAAAACGCTAGCAGATAGCCATTCATGGTTAGAGTTCGGAGAAGCGGGCAGGGGAGTCGGCACTCAACGCAGCTTCTCTCCTAGAGCCAAACCATGTTTGGGCAGGATGTCAGAAACACCCAGCTCTCTGTGGCTCCTTCTCCAAGTAAACCAGACACTATGAAGCCTGGTTCTCACCACAGGGCCAAATGGGCCAAACCAGATCTTACTCGTTATCTTTAGCCCTATTTGCACAGATGGTGGACCTCATGTTTGATTTTAATCAGAGGTTCCCTCAACCTCTATGTTTTGTGAGTATGGAAGAAATAATGGGATTTGATAAAAATCACTGAAGCCCCAGAGACATTTGTATCGTCTCAATGATAATACTGAACTGGAATTGAAACACTGAACCATTACATTAAAAGTGCTTTCAAAACTTTCTGTAGATTCCAATGTGGACTCCATTTTGGCAGGCAACAGATAAAAAAACATAATCTAGAGGATGTCTAGAAGAAAAAATTCTCAGGAGATTAAAATATTCTGATTAATAATATTGATATGTTACTGATCATCTGTTACTCCTTATACCCACACAGTTTGCTCAGACGCTTACAATTTAATGATTATCTCACTACTTGCTGTACCACCCTACTGCCTAAAACATCTCCATCCTTCCTTTAAAATAACATTTCTGTGGATAGATGGATTTTAATTTCAACAGTGATATTTTACATGTCTGCTTTCTTTAAAGTACCCTTTTGAACTTAGATATCTTTATTTCATCGCTCAATTAATCTTACAGCTTTCATTTCCTGAGAACATACACAGAACTGGAAGGGTGAAGTTTTTCACAACAAATCACTGGTCCATACATGTCTTTTCAGTTTTAGGGAAAATCCATTATTCACTATCACTACAATAACTGTATGACTGTCAGGCGAGCTTATTCATGCCTGTGTTCAGAGAATAAAGGAGGCAAGTGGAGGAAAATCCCTGAGAGTGTATTATGTTACACACTCCTGCAGTGGCATGACAGTAAAGACATTTATGACTCCTAATCTGTACAAACATGACATGCAAAGGAGGACAGGTAATCTTGCATGCTAATGTATATCATATATAACAAATATGGTGATATATTTAAAGAAAGATAAAGGACTAAGCAAAAAGAACAAACAAAAAAAAACACTCAATCTTGTTTTATGAAACTGCCATTGAAATTGCCATGAAGAAGAAATAATGTCAATTTTATAAATAGAATCCACTAATTTATCACAGATTGGCAGAATAGTCTGAGCAACACACAACACGCTCTATCCTTACACCCTTGTCACTTGTATATTTAGATATTCAGAATTATTTTTAAAAAAAACAACACATTTTTATTATTGCACAACTGTTAAACAATCAGGCAGAAAGAAATCAATGTTGTCATTAATTCCCTCACTACCAAGGCCCAGTTCAGTCCTTTATCCTGCAAAGGCAAATGTAGCCTTTAAAAATAACCGTTCGTAAGGTGTTGGCAGCAGCAAGTACATGTTCACCCATTTTCACCCTCACACTCCTGCCTGACATGGTGTGACTCCTTCTGTTTCAGCTGACACTCCCCAGCCATTCCTCTTGTCTTTCTTTCTCATAACACTCTTTCCTCTTTTGCCTTGCACGTCTGTTGCGCAGATATTTGCTCTGTGTGGATGGCAGATTTATAAGGCAGCACATCTGGTGCTTGCCTTATAAAAATGCCAGTTTGGTAACATTCAGGACCTGTAAGTGCTTTCAAGTTGCTCTGAAGGTATGGTGGCTTGGTTTATTTTTATTACAAAATCAACTGTATTAAAAAGAATGATTATGCCTTTTTACGTCTGGACTACATATAGGTTTAATGGAGATTTTTCTTAAGGTGATAGTCACGTTAATCTGGTGTACACCTTATCACCCCAATTCCCCTGGTAACCTTATCTTGTTTTCCCAATGTAGTCAAAATAGTTTAAAGTTAATATGAGCAGCTTCAGCCTATCTCCAACAGAAACTCAACATAACAAGATTGTTGAAAAAGGCCATCTGTGAGATCATCTATTTCCTAATTTTTCTCTCTTGAGAAGAACTACTCTTTCATTTTCTCCCAAATCTTGACTGCATTCCTCCTGCCTTTGAGGAAGAGATACTTTGAAAAGGGGAAAAAGACAGAGAAATAAGGAAAAAGAGAACCAAAAGTAGTAACTATTTCTGAAAACCAGCATTGTCTACCACTGTATGCACATAATTTCAGGCTGCCATTGGATTTCACTGACCAGTTTTACAATGGTAATCAAGCATGGCTAATGGTTCGGGATGACTGGCCATGTATGAGTGTATGTGCGTGCCAAAGAGGCAGACAAAAAAAAGAAAGAAAGAAAGGGTAGAAACGTTGCATTTACTTCTGTTTAAGCTCTTATACACTGCGTATATTTAACTGAGGTGCATTCAGCCAAGAGGCACCAAGTTCCTCCATTCATCAACCTGACTAAAAGTTAGCCTGATTAATAAGGGCTTGAATGGGAAAAGACTGCAGTTTCAGCTCTAGTACCTCAGTCCACAGTCACAGTTTGGTCAGAGAGGGGTAGACAGACGAGAAGAGGGGGGGTTGAGGAGAAGAAAAAGGTGGAGGACCTTAATTGAAATCATATGCCTGTCTTTAACTGAGGACCGAGACCTCAGCTTGCCTGCCTCACACATACACAGATTCATGATAACACACACACACATGCACACCACCTCCTTCTTTTCTGCCTCCTGCATGGTTTAATCCCCATGGACCATTGAAATTAAGCTTTTCACATGGTGCTCTGCACCACTAACCAAACACAAACCAGCCCTTTATGGCTCCCTGGGCCTGACCCTGGGTGCCTCGCTGGGAGGACAGACATGCAGGCTAGAGAGGATGTACCAGAGAGCTGAAGTGGGGGGCAGGACAAAAAAAATAGTCGTGTTTTTAGGGCTTCTGGCCTTGAGCCTGCCTGGCAGGGTAGAATAGCTCTAGGGAATATAGATGTAGCATTAGTATTCATTGAACATGTGATATATTTATTCATCATCAATTTCCTCTATTAAATAAAGCTATTAAGACACTTTTACTTCCATACTGATTGTGCCAAGTCACCAATGGGTTGAATTAAATTCTTTGTGATGTAGCCAATTATAGCATTACAATAAAGCCTGAATGTTTCAGGTGAAAGCAATTTAATTTAATGTGCACAATAAACATTAAGGCAACAACATTATTCAGTTTGGACTAAATGTATGTTGTTGATAAAGCCACCTGCTTAAACTGCCTTCATATGAAGTAGAGCAAAAGATAAGCTACCACTGCTGACTGTGCATGATTCAGCTAGTTGGTACGAAAATGCTAATAAAACTGTCTAATTTGCTGAGGGTTAGGTTTAAATTGTTCACTTTAAGACATAAATAATGTTGAGTGGAGAAAACTAGCAAATAGTCAAGACAGGGATTTTTTTTAATGTTAG